ATAAATGTAATCATATATCTCTTTAAGATCAGTGGGAGCAAGCTGGTGGTGTCGTACAACTTTAATCCCAGCACTTGGGAGGCAGAAGCAGAAGGATCTCTCCAGGACACCTAGAGCTACAGAGAAATCTTGCCTGGAAAAAAAACCAGTGGGAAATCTGTCACAGAGGAAAAGGCAAGAACAGTAGGGAGCAAAGTGATGTTTGGAGACGCTGGCCTTGCAGATTGAAAGGATATGGCCACAATGAGTGTCATAGATAATGGAAGGGTCAAAGAAATGATTCTCCCCAAAAGGAGCCTATGCTTCCCTAGAAGGAACATCGCCCAGTCAATATCTTGATTTTAGTCCAACAATACTGAATTTCAACTTCCGTCTTCCAGAAATTGTGGAACTCATTGTGGTAAGACACTGTGTGTGGTATTTTATTACAATAGCTTCGAGAAAGTAACATGAACACCCATGAATTCTACTTAAGGACAGTCATGGTGCCCACCTATAACCTTCTACACCTAGTGCTGTGGTTTGGATATGGCTTGGGGGTATCATCCAAAGGTTCATGGATTGAGGTTTAATCCCCACTGTGAGGTATTGAGGGTAGAAAATTAATCCAATGTGGCATTTAGAGACGGGGCCACTGGGGGTACGTAGTATTAAATAAGCCATGGAGTGAAGTCCTCGTGGATGAATGCTGGGGGTCTCATGAGAGAGAGGACGGCCTCCCTGTCTCTCAACATACGCTGCTATGTACCACCTTCAGATTCTGCGACCAACGGGACTATTGCCAGGAGCCCAAGGACTCAGCTCAGTGAGTAAATGGCTTGCTGTGCAAGCTGGGCCACCTGAAAGTCCAGAACCCACACAAGATCTGGGTACCACAGCACACATCTGCAACACCAGAGAAGCACCACTGGGTGACCAGGGCAGAGGAGCACTGACTGCCCGGGGCTCCCAGGCCACCTAGCCTGCTGTACTTAGCAGGGAACTTGAGTGACCCTGTCTCAGACAAGACGAAAGGCAAAGGCCAACAGCTGGGCGTGTTCCCTGACCTCCAGACATGCACGCCTACACCCACACTCACATACATGAGCGTGCACGCAAACATTGTACACATGCCCCAGAAAACAAAGCTATTGCTGAATGTGGGCCCTCTCCAGGACAGGACCAGGGGCTGAAATAAACCTCTTGCCAACATACCAAATCTGTGGTGGCATTGGTTATTAGCAGACAAAGAATTAATACACCTTGCTGCACTGTTTTTTTTGTTGTTGTTGTTGTTTGTTTGTTTTTAACATTTCTAAGTATTTTAATTTCTTTTTTTGAGACATTCTGGGAAATGACCACAAAAGTGCAGTATAACAAAAAAACTGGGACCAGTTTTTAAAAACCTGAAAATTTCAAATTCTAGAATCGTTTGTTTTGAAACTACCTACCAAACAAGGATAAAATAAATAAATAAGAATTTTAGAAAATCATGGATGTTCATAACAATGTTAAAACAGCTTACTCTTGCTCTGTTCTAAGAAAGATTTCTTTCCACACATGATAGATCACACGCCTTTAATCCCAGCACTTAGGAGGCAGAGGCAGGTGGGTCTTTGGGATCCCAAAGCCAGCCTGGTCTACAGAGTGAGCCAGGGCTACATTGGAAGACTTTGTCTGGAAGGAAGGAAGGAAGGAAGGAAGGAAGGAAGGAAGGAAGGAAGGAGAGAGGGAGGGATGGAGGGAGGGAGGGCGGAAGGAAGAAAGAAAGGAAGACTTATTGTGATTTATAAATATTTGCAAAACATACTAATAACATAAATCAGCAGAGACAGCTCAACAATTGTGAACACACACCACTCTTGAAAAGGACCTGAATTAAGTTCCCAGCTCCCATGCCAGATGGTTCACAACCATCTATAACTTCAGTTCCAGGTTATATGACATCCTCTTCTGGCCTCCACCGGCCCCTGCCCTCATGTGAACATAGTTACACAGACAGGCAGACAGACAGACAGACAGACAGACAGACAGACAGACACACACACACACACCTAAAAAACGAATATTTTTAACATATAGCAAGTCAATTGAAATGATAAAAAACAAATACATACAAAGCAGAAGCAGCAACAAGCTTTATATGAACACAGCAGACCCTCCATGTTCATAGGCTTTCCCCCCATAGATTCACTCAGTCATATAGATCAGTAACTTCCTGGCTTCTATCTGTAGTAAATAAACACAGACTTTTTTCTTGTCCATACAGTGTAACAACTATTTACATATCTTTCACATTGCATGAGACATCATAACTAATTTAGAAATAATTTAAAGTATATTATAAGCTTGCATCTACTATATGCAAATATCAGTATATGAGTTGAACACCCATAGACTGTGATGTCCATGACATGTCCTAGAACCAGCTCCCTGTATATAGTGAAGATGTACTTAAATCTCATGCCATGAGTCAGATTAAAGCTAACAGCCAATACACAGGAGTTTGTACTGGCGAATCGTTATCAACTTGACATAAACTAGACTTACCCAGGACGAAGTAATTTTAGTTGAGTAATTACCTCCAGCAGATTTGTCTGATGACATATCTATGGGACATTTCATTGATTAATAATTGATGGGGAGGGGCCAAGGCCCCTACAGGCTGTCACTCCTGGGCAAGTGGTCCTGAGATATAAGGGAAGCAAGCCAGTAAGCAGCATCCCTCCAGGATCTTCAGTCCTGCTCTGAGTCCCTGTTGTGGTCTCCCTGGATGATGGACAATAAGTGGCAAGCCAAATAAACTGCCCCCCCGGTAGTTTTTGATCAGTGTTTCATCACAGCAACAAAGAGGCAAACAAGAATAGAGGTCTTCTTGTTTATAAAACTTAAGAGGTTGCATTGAATCTGTAGATTGCTTTGTAGGGGAAGGAGACGGGATTGGTATGTGAAACAAGCTTGTTTCTAACTTATATTTTTAAAAAATAGGAAGAGAAAAAAATGAAGAAAAAGTTAAGCAATGTATTGGTTAAAAACAACCCAAATCTATAGAAACAGAAAACACAGGGTGAAATTTCTCCAGGGACTGCTGCTGCCCAGGACACTATGAGGTAGGTGGCTGTAGTTACGTGTAGGATTTTAATAGCCTTGGTGTAAATGTTTATAAGATTGCTTACTATAGCATGGGTTGATAACTTATTAGAACTTGGCAAACATAAATTCTATAGGAGTAAAGACAATGTCAAGTGAATACCATCTAGATGTTGAACTCACTGCTGATTTGCTTTAATTCTGAAATCTATTTTAGTGTATTTGTGTAGAACCTTGATTAATGCTCAGAAAATAAGCACCCGTTTCTCGATCGAACTCTCAGGCATTCAATAAGCGCTGTACAGTAATCCCTATCAAATGTGGCTCTATTGAAAGCAGATTTTGCAAGGAGCAAAATACTTACAGTGCTTCTGTTGCCAATGAGAGGCTCAGATAACTACTGAGGAGACATGCCTTTTTATGGGAGGGGGTCTCTCAGTTCTTGTATTTCCAGGAAAAATTCAGTGGAGACACACAGTTTAAGCAGTTAACAAAGCAAGCAAAGATTCCAAGGAGTGAGCTGTCCTACAGAGAACACTGCAGAAGATGATACACTGTACATTTTTCTTTAATTCTTGTATTTACGGAGTGAGCATCATACTGGTAGAGTAAGGTGAAATCATTCACCAGGTGATGGTGAATCAGATCACCTCTTTAAGATACTTCTTCCCAGGATCTTCTCGAAAAGCTTATGGTGGAAGCCAAAGCCACAATGAAAGGATACTACAATGCAGCCATGGTCTTTGGAACGCGCAGACCGTTCACTAGTGCACGGATGAGCAAAGTCCCAGCGCCTTAATTTTTGACATGGTGTGAACAAGCTGTCGCAGCCCCAAGGACAGCTGGCCATAAAGGGCACTTTGACTGTCAGCAGACACAGATAACGCTGCACCTTTCTTGGTCTACATATCTGGTTTCCTTTTGAGATTGCCCACGGTCCCATGACTGACTTCATAACTGTCTGATGGTTAAGACATTCCCTTGTCCCGCAGTTAGGACATTTTGCTTTTTTTTTTCCCCCACATCGAGACTCTATCATAAAAATTGGAAGCAGAAGTGACAGTGACAGTTGGATAAGTTGGTGTTCTTGTGGGAGCGGGACCTGTCCCTGACACTTTGGCAGGCTTTTTGGGAAGCTATTCCTTATGTCGGGTTGCTTTACCAAGCCTTAATAAGAGGGGAGGGGCTTAGTCCTACCTCAACTTAACATGCAGTGCTTTGTTGACACCCATGGGAGGCCTGCACCTTTCTGAACAGAAACAGAGGGGGAGTGGGTGGTGGAGAGGAACTGGGGTTGGGAGCAAATTTAATTAGTAAGAATACTTTTAAGGAAAAACACAGAAAAGCAGACTTTGTCTGCTGTCTTCCAAGACACAGTTCTCTCCATCCTATCTTCCGCCCGACAGCTCATCCCAGGAGAGAGAAACCCATCTCCAAAGAGAAGCCCTTGACTAGCAGAAAGGAGTCTTCCTAAGAGGGTCGAAAAAGGAGGAATCTCCCTCCTAAGCCTCCGACCCGGTATCAGTTAGTGTCTTTGGGGCACATAGGGCATCAGCTCGAAGAAAAAAAAAGAAAAGCAAAAAGGGGAAACCGTGAAGAGAAAGGGGAAACCCTGCGCTTCATGCTAAGAGCAAGCAGCTCCACGGACGAGGGACCCGGTTCCGCGGCCAACTCTCAACCAAACGAACCCCGCGAACCCTCCAGAACCTCCCTCCCTGCCTCCCACCACCACACCCGCGCGCGCACACAGCCTTCCTCGCGGGCGAGCGGAGACCCCGGCGCCGAACGAGCCGTACCGCTAGGTGTCACCCGAGGCCCCCAGGGAAACGCCAGTAGTTCCGGGTTGTCCGCCGCCTCCGCTCTAGCCGCCCAGCTTCCGCCTCTCGACTGCTCCCCGGTGCTGGAGCAGGCGGTGGTGGGGGAGAAGGGGGCGGGCCTTCCGGACGCGGGGGTGGGCGGGCCTTCCGGGCTGCGCGTGAGCCGGGTCGACCACAGGTAAGGCGCCCGGGGCGTCGGGGTCACGGCAGGGGGGGGGCACTCCCCAGCCTGGTGGAGCCGCCGAGAGGGTCCAGGCGGTTCTGTGAGGGGCCCCCTGGGCGTCCCACGTGCACCCGCGAACCCCTGCGTCCTGCGGGGAAGAATGCTCCTCGCCTTTCCCGGTCTGCCCGCCAGCAGCGCTGTGGTTTTGCGGGGGAGGCGCAGACTGTGTTTGTCACTAGTGTTTTGTTTTGTTTTAAATGCATTGGAGATGACACTTGGGGAAAATGCACCGCTACACAGCTTGCACCCCCTGAGGAGGGACCCGGTCAGATTGCGGAGGGTCGGCTGCACGGGATGAAGTTACATTCTGTTCAGTTGCGTCCATGCTCTGGGTGTAAGCATTCGGGACTGGACAGGAGTGGGTCAGGTATCCTGGAGCTCCGGAGCCACAGAATACTGAGTGTTACACAGCTCAGGTAAAAGGTATCCTGGAGCTCGGGAGCCGAGGACCACCACAGGTTGCAGTAAGCTTAGCAGTTTACAGCCTTGTCTCAGAGAAAGTGTATTGGCTCGGCTAAGGCAGGACAGGGTCTTCCAGCTGGGGATGTTCCCCTAGTGTAGCAGTTTTGCTAGGCAGGAGGTTTCTCTGGCGAAGTTGCTACAGTTCAGCTCTGCTCCCTGAGAGTGGGGAGCAGAGTGTAACAACTCCTCTTTGCCAAGGGAAGGTTTCCCAGCCAAAAGTGTTACAGCCCTGCTCGCTCTGCTCTGCCCAGGGTCGCCTCTGCTCCGCCACTGCCCCGCCACTGCCACAAAAGAAGATCTTCACCCAAAGTCCACTGAAGGGGTTTATTGGAAGGAAGCAGCTGGACTAGCCAAGCTGAACATACACAGGGTTTATATAGGGATTCTTGGGGGCGGGAAAGTTTTTCCAGGATAGGGATTGGTCTGATTTCAGTGCTGTGCTCACATTGGCTAGATCTCTTGCTCAAGGATTGGCTAGAGCTCCTGTCCAAGGATTGGCTAGTTTTCTGTACAGGATTAGGGTCAGATTTGGCTCTGGTTTCAGGGCCAAAGTGTGTTTCTTTGGTTCTGGTTGCAGGGCCAAAGTGTGTTTCTTTGGCTCTGCTCAGGGTGTGTTTCTTTGACTGGCCCCTTTTCCCTACGCTGGGACCCAGTAAAATAGCGGATACCGGTTTTTTTAAATGCTGGTTCTTGATCAGCTTGCTTCTCGGTCACATCAGCGTGTGCACTCGTTGGGGCATGCCGGGGCAGACACTGTGCCTTCGGGTTTGCCATCCATGGAGACCACATGACTTGCCTTCATTTACCTGCTGAGAGTGGGCACAGAGAAAGATGTGAGGATGACCGTGGCGACGTGGCGTTTTACTTAAAAGCAGACAAAAGAGTCCTAGCTACCTTTTCCTACATCAAGCTTGGTGCACCCTCCCTGCCAGACTCTTGTTTTGAGGACCTGAAGAAAGCTTCCTCCCAGGAGACTCCATAATGCGCATCGCATACGAATTCAGACAGCAGTCGGTCGAGATTAACCCCACACTTTTTATCTTCACCCTTCAAAAAGGAAAGGCAGACATAAGCCGAAGCCAGTTGGTGAGCTAGAAATGATCGTTTAAGTCATATCTAGAGTCTGGGGAGATGGATGGAGGGGTGATGTGCTTACCGTGCAAGCGTGGGTACTTGAGTCTGATCCCCGATACCGGGTTAAAAAGCCAAGGCTGCAGTGGGGACACTCACTGGGGACGTTGGGATAGGAGGATCCCCTGAACTCATTCCTCAGCCAGTCTAGCCAATCCATGAGCTTCGGGTACAATGAAAGACCTTGTCTCAAAAAAATAAGGTAGAAGCATGCCTTTAATCCCAGCACTCGGGAGGCACAGGCAGGCTGATCTCTGTGAGTTCGAGGCCAGCCTGGTCTACAGAGCAAGTTCCAGGACAGCCTCCAAAGCCACAGAGAAACCTTGTGCTGAGGGGGAAAAAAGCGTTAGACAGGGAAAAAAATGTAGCAATGTGTCAGTCTTAGGATCAGTGGTTACAGAAAACAATCCTTTTTAGCCTGCACACACATACATACATACATACATACATACATACATACATACATACATATGTCACAACACAAAATAAATGAATACATTTTTTCCTTTTTTTTTATTTAAGTTAGAAACAAGCTTGTTTCACATGTCGATCCCAGCTCCCTCTCCCTCCCCATGAATACAATTTTTAAAGTGTTTTTTTTTGAAAAGCGCAACCTTTATATAAAAAATTTTTTTTCAACCAGGTTCCTCTGTCATTTACTAGGACGTGTGTCTGTGCTATGGACAGAAACTGAAGTCCCCGGAGTGGGGTGGAGTCAAGGACTGGCGTCTGAAGAGGGTTACTCTCTTCCTTTGTCGTAGAGATGCTGTCACTTTAAGACTTGGGTTTGTGGTCTGTGTTGCCATGGATTCTGATGTGATCTTATTACTGATTCTAAATCCCACCTGTCGGCTACGTTGCAAGGTGCAGTTACCTTAGCATCCTAGCATCCTCTGGTGGCTTTGGCTGTTTCTAGAGAGCCCTTTCCTCTTCCCTACCTGTGGGTTCTCAAGGTGCTGGTTGCCCCACTCCCTCGTCAGGCTTCGTAAATGAAGGTGTAACTGTGTGTGCGTGTGCACTCTCCCAAGCGAGGACGAGACATCAACATGCATGTCTGTGTGAGGTTAGGGTTGTTCCTTTGTTGAGCTACCATTTACTGAGTATCACTGCCCTACAATATTCCTGCAACCTTTCTTTTCAGAGAAAAGGGAAAGTCAACTTTAGACTAAATGACGGAGCCAGGATGTGAAGCTGGGATTCATCCCATAGCCTCTATTTAAAAATAAAGTGATTGGGAATTCAGGATGTATTTTCCCTTAAACCCTGTAGCAAAATGATAGTTCCCAGTCTGCCTTAAAGTGTCTCTGGAAATTTTATGCAATTGCAGTGGAAATTTGTCTCCTAGTAATTGAGCAAAAGAGGGCAAATGAAAAGAGGTTGGAAACAATGTGTTTTAAACTTGTGCTTGAAAAAAAAAAGATTCAAGGTTTAAAAAAAAAAGCATACACAGACACATAGCTGGTTCTGAAAACTTCTGGACGTCTGCAAGGCCCCAGGAGGGTTGTGACACTGGTCATTATTTTCTACTTAGATGTTAAGCTGGTAATGACGTTTTTCCCCTGATAGAAATGAAAGCCTAGTTCTCATAGCACCAGCCCAAGCCCACCTGCAACCGTACAGCCACACAAGAGACGGCAGAAGTGTGTCAGAAAGGAGCAGCAAAGAGAGCTCAGTGAGCCCCAGACTCGGTTGGACGAGGCTCCCAACCTGACTCCTTTCCCCGTGTTAGCCTTCGGGTGGCACTGCCGGCCAAGTTCACCTAGTTGGTTCAAGGTGGCAAATGGTGTAAGGCTTAGCATTCTACAGGTGGCTTGAGGTCGGCTTCTGTTCTGTTTCTGGGTGTCGAAATCGCATTAAAACTCTGTTCAGACAAACTGAGTTTATTTCTTGCAAGCACTAGGGAATTTTATCAGATGTCTTACACCTAGCCTTGTCCTTTAACAGCTGCAGGACCTCTTCCCTGCAGGTGGCAGGCAGGTTCACAGGCATTCTTGCTTCCTCCCGCACTCTTCCTGGCAGTTTTGATTTTGAAGTATTAGTTTGATGGACCCAGACTTTGCGTTGCAAGGGTGATGTGCAAAACTCTGAAGAGCTGGTTTATTTTAGCATCCTGGCTTTGGGTTAGTTCTCCCATTTTTTTTCAAGATATGTGTGCCTTTTTCATGTTTAAAGGCCAGCTCCTTTTCCTCTTAGCCAAACTATCTCCCAGATAGCCTTTTAGCCAGCAAGGGTTCTCATCGTGGCATGAAATTTTCACATAAATTGGCATATTCTGCCACCAGCAGCCCACCTATCTGACCTACATGAGGTGACATAGTTAGTCAACCAGAAGCATTCTTCTTATTGTTGATGGTATGTATCTTTTACTCTTTATTATGTCTGTGTCTCTGTGGCTCCATGCCATTTGAGTGTGGTGCCCACAGAGGCCGAGAGAAGGCATCAGATCCCGTGGAGCTGGAGTTTCGGGCAGTTGTGGGCAGTCCATTGTGGGAGCTGTCAACTGAGCTATCCTCTGGAAGAGCAGCGAGCTATCCCTCCAGACTCCAGAAGCATTCTTGATTTTTACATGTCTGTACTGTGGGTTTTGTTCTGTCTGTTAGCTGTCGTTTTAATGCCCTGGTTATCATTCTGACGTCTGTTTCAACATTCTGTACCTCTGAAGAAAACATTACTGTTGAGCTAGTTTGCATTAAGGATGATAAATAGCATCATAATTCCTAGGTGACTTTTGTTCAGGGACAACAGAGCTTTTAAACTGATGATCCTTATTTGAGCTGTTGAATTTTGTTTCTGTAGAACTGCTGTCTGTTTTTCCCAAATGGCTTTCGGTTGCTAGGCAGAATTCAATCCAGTAACCTAGAGGCCAGATGACCTCATAACTCATTAGCAGTTCTCAGAGCCATCTGGTGCCCTTGAGGAGAACAGTGTTCAAAGGACTGATAATAAAGACAACAGCATAATTACTTCTCTGCCATGATTACACCTTTAGATGGCAAGCAGTCAGCATATTTATTTGCAGATTGCTTGGGTGGTTGTTTTCCAAAGGTATAATAATGATGCTATAGCAGAATAACTTGCTCCCTTGTCCCCTTCATCCAGCTTGCAAATAAGTGAACTTGACGGCAGGTAAATAACCTATTGAATCACAAATTATAAGAAAGGCAATACACCAAAGAAACATAGTGCATGAACCCAAAATGTAAAAAACACAGGTGTGAGAAAGAAATGGCTGTAGAGTGGATATGTCTCAACCCCAGGGCGGATCTTGCCAAAGGTACACAATAATTCATGGCTGGCTTGCTGTGTTTCTTTTTCTACAGTGTTTACTAGATAAGTGTAAATTTCTCAGGCTCACCTGTTAATCTCCTTTTTTATAGGGAGTCTTGTTCCTCACTGCTTAAGAAATGGCTTCAGAATATGCACTGCGTATGTCTCGTCTGAGTGCCCGGATCTTTGGTGAAGTGGCCAGGCCTACTGATTCAAAGTCCATGAAAGTGGTGAATATGTTCAGTGAGCAGCCCTTGGCCAAAAGGAAAGAGACTTACGACTGGTATCCAAATCACAACACGTACTTTGCGCTCATGGGCACACTGCGTTTCCTTGGCCTTTATAGGTGAGGAGAGGAAAAAAGATAAGGCTTTGTGGGAGGGTGTTAGCAGACCAGCAAAGGAAAACAATTAGCTTGTCTCTCCCTACAGTTTTGTGGCTCTTATGAGAGTCCAGCTAGATCAAAAGGTCCAGTAGGTGTTCTTTCAAAATTGCCTTGACTCATAAGCAGACAAACAAACAAAAACATGGCTTGTTGGAATTTTGTCTAAAACATAACCAGCATCAAATTGTACTGAGCTCTGGAGAGGTGTCCGGTTGTTCATTAACCTAAGGGTGCTGCAGAAAGGATGTGGGTAGGAAGTGGGCCCAGATGAGGAGGACTAAACCCTACAAGCACCATGGTGCCAGAGCTGCCGGCGCTTGGTACAGAACAGAACCTGTCCCCCCACACACAGCTGCCTCTTCCTGGTCTGTGGGAGCCTCCGTTCTCTGCCCGTGGCAGTTCTGTTGATATTCTTACTCCTCTCAGTCGCTTCTGGCACTTTTGTGTCTTTGATATATCAATTTGGCTTGGATAAGCTGTAGTTCACTTTAATGATAATTTATAAATCACATAACTCTTAATACTGTGTTTTGTGTATTTGGTAGGTCTAAGAAGTGAGTGCCTAAGACATTTGTAGGAAAAAAAAAGAAGAAAATACCTAGATGGTCATTTTCTTTTAAAAATTGTTTTCAAGAAATTTCCAAACTAATACATGCCCCTTACAAAATATTAAAACAGTATATTTTATAAAATATAATTGCATACCATCTTTAAAATATAACATGTTTTAATTGGACCTAGCTATTAACTTGGGACCATTCATTATAATAAAAAATAAATAGCACAGCCTGGCACTCATTCCAGAGAGCTAAAGGCCGGTACCTTAACTTATCCAACATATTTTTAAGTTCTTTCCATGTACGGGTATTTAAGATGAAGATTAAAGGAACACCAGTTAACAAAACAAATGAGTACTCTAAGTTAATATATTACTGGAGAGTATAATGTGTGGCCTTCTTTTGAGTGTCTGGAATTGCTAGGGACTATCTCCTTAGCCATTAGTCTTGGCTCAGAAAAATAAAACCTAATTTTATTATGACCCAGAATAAAATGTCAGAAGCTAGATCCCATGGACAGTTATAACCCCCAACAAAATCACATTCAACTATTTTAATATGTCAGCTTTAGATTGTTCTCTATTTATTTGAAGAACAAAGACCTAGCTATCTTTGGAGATAAGGGAAAAAATACTAAGCACTTGGTTGTTCATTGAAAATCAAAATGATTTTCATGTGTTTAGTCAGTAGTTATGGTAAATGATGCCTTCAGTGCACGGCTCTCTGTAGCCTCAGCCAGGATGAGTGTAGACATCCCTTCAGTAAAGTCTGATGAGTGTACACATCCTTCAGTAAAGTCTGATGAGTAGACATCCTTCAGTAAAGTCTGCTGTAAAGGCCTGCAAAAGCGGGAGGGAAATATAATCAACCAAAGCAGTAGATTCACTCAGTTAACAAGCGTGTGCTAGCGGCCTCTGGAGTTTTCCGTCTGATGGTGGGATGAAGACTGGGGGATGATGTAATAAATAGTATGATCTGTTTTGTGACAGTGTTGAACGTGCTGGGGGAGGGGCGTGCAGAACTAGCTCAGCAGGATCTAGAGTGCTGACAGGGCTTGTGGCGAGCAGGCTACAGGCATGGTAACACTTTAAACAGGGCAGTCAGTCAGGATCAGCCCCGTAGGGGAGACTGAGGCGCACGGGTAGTGAGTGAGCCTGGTGAGACCTGAAGAGGAGCTTGGGACAGAAGCAAGAGAGAACAAAGGCCTCTCTTCCCGAGGCGGGAGTGTGCCTGGGATGAGTGGCCCAGGAAGAGTTTGGGCTACCGGAACACTGGAGGGCAGAAGGCAGTCACAGGGGTCTGTGGTAAAGAAAAGGGCTTTTGCCCTGGGCAACAGAGTTTGCGTTCTGTCTGCTTGAGCCCTTTCCCAGCAGCTTTCTGTGTGGGCATTCCCTGCCATGCAGGCCATCCGGGAGAACTGCCCATTTTTAAGTAGATGCTAATTCCTAGGGCAATCAGGATCTCTGTGCAGCTACTGAAAATTATACTCAAGTTTTGTTTTTCGAGACAGGGTTTCTCTGTGTAGCCTTGGCTGACCTGGAGCACAGTCTGTAGGACCAGCTGACCCCAAACTCACAAAGATCCACCTGCTGTTACCCAAGTTTTATTCCTCTAGATATTTAGTCTATTTAGTGTTTTTTTTTTTAAACTGGGAATCTAACCCAAGGTGTTTAGCCTTAACATAGGGAAATGCTGGGTAGTGTATCTCACAGTTAAAGAGGTTTCCCTGGGCTCACCAGGAAGTTTACTGCTCCTTGTGGTACTGTGTCTGTGCAGGAAAACTACCATCTGAATTCTTACAACCCAACCAGCCTCTGTGTTGGCTGGACTTTCTGTTCACCCAGCTAAGGACATGCCCTGAAAAGCCTTGCTCAACAGCCTAAGAGGCAGCTCTAGATCAGTTCTCCTCTGGTGTGATCATCGTAGCTTGTTGATTTCTTTCTTTCTTTCTTTTTCCTTCTTCCAGAGATGAGCATCAGGATTTTAAGGATGAGCAAAGACGTCTAAAGAAGCTCCGTGGAAAGGAGAAACCAAAGAAAGGAGAAGGGAAAAGAGCTACGAAAAAGAAATAATAGAATCAGTTGTCATTAAAGGAAATTCCTTCCTCAGTGACTAAGAAAGTCTATCTGTTACCTTTTCACATATTAGAGGAATGTGACCTGCCTCGGTGGGCATCAACCCCGTGTTCTCATCCACTTCAGTTAAGCTGTGATGGTTTCTTAGAGATGTTCTAATTCTTCAAATTATATCTGCCTTGGTTTTGTAATCTGAGAGTTACCTAATTGATGGGATGAATGAACTCTTGTTCAGTGGTTTGTTTAAGATGGGAATGGAATATTGGGAGTCGAGCAGGGGGGCCTCCCTAAATGAGCACCCTGTACTTTCCTTACTCCTTCATTGCTTCCCCCCAACCCCAGCCTTCCTCTCTGATCACCTTCCAGCGCACGCTTTTGAAGAGGCCTCCAGGAGAGTAAAAGCTTCTCAGGAAAGGGAGTATCGAATGCCTACTTTATACGAGGGGTTGAAGCCTTGGTGATACAGTGGTAGGTTTTAGCTCATGGAACTTTAAGTCTTATAGAGGAGACTAATATAAATACATAAATATATATATATATATTGGTTTTTTAGAGACAGGTTTTCTCTGTGGCTTTGAGTTCAAGGCCAGCCTGGTCTACAAAGCAAGTTCCAGGACAGCCCTACACAGAGAAACTCTGTCTCAAACAAAAAAATAGAATAATTCTTGTCCTAGAAATTTAAAACAGACCACTGACTGGCTCATATTTAACCATGAGAACATAGACAGGCCTGTCGAGGTCTGTGACCTGGTGATACTTGGGAAGCTTAGGCAAGACAGCAAGTTTGAGGCCAACCTGCACAATTTAACAAAACACTGTCTCCAAACAGGGAAAAGAGGAAAAGAGGTACATGTCACGGTAAAGTCCTTTTAGCCTCTTGGTCAAAAGCAGAGTACAGAGGCAAGAGTAGACATAGCAGCTACTTTAGGTAGGGTTTTCTTTCCCTGTCATTGAATGAGTCCTGGATTAGTAAGAACTCGATGCATATGTTTAGACAAATGTTATTTTTAAACATGCATAATCCAGATGGTATGGCTAGTGCTTATCTAGCCTGGGGGGAGGGGCACTTAAAATTGGGTGATCTGTGTCTGATAGAGTTGAACGCAAACAGAAGGTTCAGAATGCATTCATTTAACACTTTCTACTGAATCCCTGCCATCTGCCTGACTCACAATAGCTGCGAGGGGATAGAATGAGTAGAAACAGCATCTCCGGGTTTGTGTGAGTGCTGCCGCTGTTACAAAGTAACGGCAAGAGCTTTAGAAAGTGCATCTGTTACAAAGTAGCGGCAAGAGCTTTAGAAAGTGCGTCTGTTACAAAGTAGCGGCAAGAGCTTTAGAAAGTGCGTCTGTTACAAAGTAGCGGCAAGAGCTTTAGAAAGTGCGTCTGTTACAAAGTAGCGGCAAGAGCTTTAGAAAGTGCATCTGGCAGTGCAGCCGGCCCACGGTAGGCGCTGAAGTGGGAAATGTCAGAGCCTGAGCTCGGGACAGCTGTGGCAATTCTCCAGCTTTGAGGAAGCCCAGCACTGAAGCCGCAGCCCAACAGGTGAGAGTACTTGTTTTGCAGAGGACCTGGGTTTGGTTCTCAGCACCCACATGTTGACTCACAACTATCTGTAACTCCAGTTTGAGGGGATTGGATGCCCTGTGGGGCACATACATACATGCAGGCAAAACTCCCGGACCCTTAAAGTAGTTTTAGAAATTTTAAAGAATCAAGAGGAACTAAGAGGATGAGTTCTAGGCCAACCCTGGCTATATATGTACGTTTGTATATATGTGCTGTAATGCTTTTACTTATGCTTCATCTTCTAAGATTAAAAAAAAAAAAGTAAGCCGGGCGTTGGTGGCACATGCCTTTAATCCCAGCACTTGGGAGGCAGAAGCAGGGGGATCTCTGTGAGCCGTCTTGGAACTCGCTCTTGTAGACCAGGCTGGTTTCAAACTCAGAGATCTGCCTGCCTCTACCTCCCGAGTGCTGGGATTAAAGGTGTGCGCTCAAGAGGCAAAAACAGTCTGTGAGTTTGAGGCCAGCCTGGTCTACATAGTGAATTCCAGGCCAACTAGGGCTACATAAGACCCTATTTAAAATAAATATAAATATTTTTTTAAAACATGACAGAAAACTACTGCCTGGTCTGTTGAGAATACAAACGGGGCTGAAGAGATCTCAGAGGTTAAGAACACGGGCCTCTCTTCTAGAGGTCCTGAGTTCAATTCCCAGAATAGCAACTCACAGCCTTCTGTAGTCCAGTCCCAGGAACTGAACCCCTCCTGGCATCTCCAAGCACCAGGCACACACACTGTACACAGACATACATGCTCAGAAAATACATAAGAACACATAGAATAAAGACAATTCTAAAGAGCAACCAAAAGTTTTGGAGAGGACACTAAAATTAATCTAAGGCTCCTCTCTGAGTCTTCTTGGGGACTGGCCAATACATTAAGCCCCAAACTAGCTACAAGCACAGTAATGCAAATATTAAATAAAGGGTTACAGAGACAGAAGAGGACGTTGTTTTGCGTAGGAATGAGCTCCTAAGCATTGGAAACAATGAGGGCAAGTATGCCAACATTCTTACAGCACTCATCACGTATAGGACGTTGTGTATTTTAGATCCTATCTCATTAAGCCTCCCTTCGCTCCACGGTAAGTATCCCCATTTGAGAAGAGACTGGAGCTTACTTTACGCCAGAGATCAGACATCTACAAACACCTAGACAATTTAAAATCCTTGATCACCAGACTCGTTTTTTCACAAGCATAAAGAAAAGTTTAAAATAAACAGCATGCACAAGATGTAACCATGAAATATTAGTGAGTGCTATAAAGGGTGTGGTCTGTCAACCTCAGAATCACAACTTCGATGAATCAATGCCTACATGTCAATTCCCTGGTGTATGCTTGGTTGTTTGGTTCGGAGGTGCTGGGGCTGGTAGCCAGGGTCTTTGTTTTGTTTTGTTTTGTGTTTTTTGTTTTTCGAGACAGAGTTTCTCTGTGGCTTTGGAGGCTGTCCTGAAATTAGCTCTTGTAGACCAGGCCGGTCTCGAATTCACAGAGATCTGCCTGTCTCTGCCTCCCCAGTGCTGGGATTAAAGGCGTGAGTCACCCGCCATCCGGCAAGGGTCTTGATACTAGGCCAATGCTCTACTGCTAAGCTGCTCCATGACCCATGTTCTTTCATGAGCTGATGTTGTAGCTCTGCTCTCTGAAGGTCAGAGCAGTCATTTGTCAAGCTCTGCCATTTGCTAAATACTACACAGTTTCCTAAAACTGTGTTACTTGGTCTCTACAACAGCCCTATGGCTATTACTGTCCCATTTTATACAAGAACTTGAGTTTGGAGCTTTTGACTGTGAATCTTGGCTATTTGGGATAATTTGAAAGATCCTCTCTGTCCCTGGTACTATTCCAGACCAGTCAGAGTTGGAGCAGGAAGGAGGCATTAGCTAAGGCATTGGTGTTTGAAAATGGCTTGCTCTTAACTTGTGAGGTTTTTCCTGTCCCTTGTTTTTCTGTGCTTATTTTTCTTTGAAAGTCCAGTTCAACACAACTTAGTTATCAGTGCTGGTTCAATCTTCTAGAGTTTGACACCAGGCAATTTATTTTAGGCATATTTAAATACAATACAATTTTGGAAAAAAAAGTTCCCTTATAACTATTATCTCAATTCCCTGTGCACAATAAAGCTTAAGGTGCAACTACATCAAAACTTTTTTGTAAAGTACATGTGACCTCTACCATGAAGATGACTTCTGTATCTTAAGGGCCCAGGTCTGAGACAGCGTAGAGGTCACCAGGCTGTGAAGTGCAGGTGACATCTCCCCATAAGGACTGAATCAAAGACCTCACACACCGGCCAGACAAGTACTTTCCACCGAGTCACACCCAACCCCTGCACTGCTGCTTTAGATAGCTTCTTAAGTTGTTCAGCTGTGCATCCAAGGCTAAGAAACACAACTGTACTTGGGCGTATGACTTGTAAATCCTGGCACTAAGGAAGCCGACTTCAGAGGATCAATGTTACACTAGGCTGTTGAGGACATCCTAGGCTACAGAGACCCTGTCTAAAAAAAAAAAAAAAGATTGCTGTCAATCAGTCGATGTTTCTCAGATCAAGTATTCCTCGGTATCCTATTGAGAGCTTGTTAGATACAGACGGATGGATGGACCCCACTGGTGTGCCTTATTGAGGTCTCTGGTAGGGTCCAGGAATTTGCATATGTAAAAGGCTCCCAGGGCTTGCTGATGCTGCTCATGTGGGAATTTTGCTTTTAGAACTTAAAAACAGGGCTTAAAGTAACTTGGCCTAAGTTCCCTAGCTGATAAATTATTGAATTCTCTAACTCAAGTGAAATTCCCTAGGTACCCTGGGGCCTTTCCCTAATCAGAATTTAGCAAATCTTTAGAAACTGACTGAAAATCCAAAACTTCATAGCCTGTTCTACAAATTGAGTTCCAGGACAGCCAGGGTTACACAGGAAAAACCCTGTCTCAAGTGAACCCCCCACCACACACATACACACATACATACACACACACACACAATATCAATGCAAGAATATATAACTGGGAAAATACATAACCCAGAAATATTCAGTAATACATAAGAATTAATGTATAAGGGACTAGAGAGATGGCTCAGTGGTTAAGAGCACTGGCTGCTCTTCCAGAGGACCCAGGTTCAATTCCCAGTACCCACATGGCAGCTCACAACTGTCTATAACTAGTTCCAGTGGATCCAATAGTCTCACACAGACATACATGAAGGCAAAACACCAATGCATGTAAAATGAAAGTAAATCATTTTTTAAAAACTATTAAAGCTGGGTGGTAGTAGCACACACTTTTAATTCCAGCACTCAGGAAGCAGAGGCAGACATATCTCTGTAGTTCAAGGCCACCCTGGTCTACAGAGCAAATTCCAGGATAACCAGGGCTACAGAGAGAACCCCTGTCTCAAAACAAAAACAAAAAAAGAAAACTATTTAAAATACAAACTAAATATAATGACATAATTTGTTAAATGTAGAGGGCACAGGGTCTTTGAGCTCACAGATAAGCACTAGGGAAACCAGAAATTTTAAGCATGAAGGCTTGTCTCTTCAACTGAAGGGATGTGTATCCATTTTCCATTCAGAAGTCTGGAAAAGGATGTAGCTAATAGCCCAGTGATCTGTGCCACCTG